AATTTATGAAATGGATTAGTTTTTGCAGTTCTCTTTAAAAATGGTAGAGGATGAATTAGGTCTCTGTTGAACATGGTGAGATTTTTGAATTGTAACAGTAAGATGAAGGATTAAGAGGTCTCTACCTCCAGTGCCTCTGTATCAAAAAGGCCTGGTGTGCTGTGCAGCAGCCATGGTGCCATTCATCCATTTGGCTTCCACAGAATGCACAATGTGTGTATAGCACAAAAGATATTTGGGGGGGGGCTCAATTAGTTCCCATGCTGTGCCCAGAAAACCGGGCTTAAGTTTTCTCATTTCTCAAATATACATATTTATTTATAAAAGTTTTCCCCTTTTGTTTCTTCACTCCCACCCCTTACATGTACCTGTGAGCCAGATCTCTCTCCAATTATGTCCTTTTTCTTAATTATTTCCTATATTTACATAAATGAGTATATGACCTTCTCGGTCTGCTTAGTGCTGCTAAACCCTCACTCTTTTTCTCATTTCCACCTCCACATAACTTATATCTTGTTGTTTCCATAGCAAACATTCCCCAGCCTCACATTATTTATTTCCTGATTTCTGTTGTTATTCTAGTTTATATACTCATATCCAAAGATTTGGACCTAGAAGCTAAATGATGACAGAGAACATACAATATTTGTATTTTGGGGTGTAGAGTACTACATTCAACATAATATTTTCAAGTTCCTCCTATTTACCTGAAAATTTCATATTTTTTACACATCTGTATAAACTACAATGACCACATTCAAGTATCATTTGGAAAAAGATTCAGCCAAAATTTTCCTCAAGACAAAAAAAATCAAATGGTACTGCAGAAAAACAAAATCCTGACATGAGAAAGAATCTGTATGTATTCTCTGTAGACATGAATAGGTTCCTTGTGAATTGCTGTGTAGAATGGAGCAGAAGACTTGAGGAAATCTGGTCGGCTGATCTTCTCCCTTGGTTTAATCAAGACTGTCTTGTTTCCCTCATTTGGGGCAAGTGTATGTGGGAATAGGGAGAAGATCAGAAAATGATTTATGAGACACAGCTTGTCATGTAAGTCCACAGACCTCATTGCATTCTTCTTTCTGTTGAGTTTGTATAAGCACCTCCTTAACACCATTTAAAATTCTGCTCCTTATCATAGCCTCTCTTGAGATCCCAAACCTGATTCCTGTGACTATACCTCGAACTTGGATGACACCACCCTGGAAGAGAGCTTTCTGTCCTCTTCAGAGCCAGTTCCCTTGCTTTGATCAAAGACGCTCAGGTTTTGCCTCCCATTTACAGATATTTTAGTTTCAAAAACACATTGCATCTTCATAGCCTTACTAGAGTCTGCCACAGGTTATATATATTGAACAACTCTTTCATTGCTAATGATTGTACTTTAAAAAACTGAATTGGAAATGAAAAAGTATCTTATGATGTAAAATTGATAGCAAAAATAGGTACAAAAACCCCTTGATTATTTTATCACTTCATTCACTGTAAATCATTTCTAAAATAGCAAAGGACAGTAAAATAAATTTTGTCATTTATTAGTCAAATATTCTTTACAAAAGTGACTTATATAATTAGAAAGAATTCCAATCACAAATAAATCATAGCATTAAAAATGCAAGTGGTAAATTGAGCTTGACATTTGTAGACATTTGGTGCGAGAATTAAAACTAAGTGCTTATGTACATCTAACAAAATGTAGACATAAAACATATTTAAAACATAACTATGCCATATATTTGTAGTTTAAGAAACACACCTATTAGGTATATTCATAAATAACCAAAAACAAAGAGATTGGGTGGGTCAGGAGTTGAGGGTAGGTACGTTGGATCTAGAAGGAGTTGGGGGTGCTGGTGAATATGATCAAAGTATATCACATAAAATTTTCAAATAGTTAATATATTATTATTAAAGAGACAGTAATTTAAAATATAATTAACAATGAACATTAGATTCAAATTCTCATATAAGGTTAAGTTCAAGATTGTTATATCCATAAGGCATTTGATCATTTAGGCCATAGATTATTCAAAAGCCTTATTTATGTACCTGGAAAAAGGAAACATCCAGTAACCCTAAATGCCAATGATACTAATCCAGCTATGTACATACTATAAAATTAGTGCAAATAAAGAGGAATATGGTTAAAACTCCAGTGGGAGAAAAATTTATTGTTGCAAATCATTTGCACCGTATGAAAGTGCTCATCACCTTCAAAAAAGGACAGAGCTTTTGTTTGTCACTTTATCTGTAAAATATTAACTGGTTCACTGCAGAGAGAAGATCGAACCATAAAAGTCAGAACATGCACTCAAATAATGAAATTGCAAACTCTTAAACACCAACAAAACGATATTTCACATTTAACTCAATATAGATAAGCAATTTCAAGGTGTGATTGCAAAAATGTATGATAATTCCTCAGATACTGCCTTTAATAATATAAGTTCAAATGAATTTTAAATAGAATACAATTTCTATAAACCAGACTGAGACCAAGTTGGTTTGAAACAATGTCAAAAGCTGTGATATATATGTGTCTGTTTTCATGCACCAAATGCACTGTACTGAACTTGGGCATTTCCTCATGGCATGCACCCCAAGTTACAGTACTTAAACAATACAACATAAATACCTGATATCTAATTCTGTTTTCCTGTTTATTCGACTTTCAAAATCATTGCATTGTTTACTCAATTCCTAGTAGAGTAACATACAATCAATTCTAATGTTCCGTTTGCCATTCTAAAATGAGATTGATGTCACCCACCAGGGACATGGATCCTAGCAAGTAGAAGGCACTTGTTTTTACAGAAAGCTGTTAAAAGTTCTACTGCTCCATAAGTTCGGAAAACATTCTAGCAAATACGATTACTTCCTTTGCAAATAATAAGCAAAACTGATTAGCAATAAAGATGATAGCATAGATTATTTGACTTGATGATCAAACAAAATCAGAGAACAAAGAACAAAAAAACAAAATCAGAGAACAAATTACAAAGGATTCCAGACGGAGCACAATTCAGGCACAGATTCTGTGAAGTGAGTGACTGAGACGGAATGGTAGAGATAAAAACAGCAATGGGTTGTGGGCAAACATTACAGGTGCATATCCATGATAAGTGCTTAATCTGGAAAGAACAGGGTGGGAAGGAAACAAACGTGTATATATTTCTTCAACCTAGAGAAGTGTGACTCCTTTGCATTTGAAATATGAACAGTTTGAAAATTAGCATGTTTCTGCTGGTAGATGCAAATGGCTCTCTCAAAGAAAACTGGCTCACACTGAAGAATGTTATGATCAGAACAGAATTTGTGAAGCTAAGTATACATTGCTTCTAGTTATTTTCTTTGCTTTGAATGCATGTAAGGTACACCCTAGATAATAACTGCATTGCTTAAAAATTAATGGGAGGGATAGACTGGGATGACAACTTAGACTAAAGCTGATGGATCCACACTCAACTCAGAATGCTAGTGATGACCTAGTCTAATTTCTATATTCTAGAGTCACATATGAAGTAGCTTTCTCAGGGTTACCCTGTGCAGGAATCTAGGGTGCAGGACATATGTCATAGTACCTTGTCCAATATGCATACTAAGTATCCTATAAACATTTGAGGGATTAGCTTAATGGAGGATGCATGAGGATAAAACAACAGCAAAAGAAACCTAGACTACTCTTTCAATGACAGGGTTGTCTGGGTCTGTAAAGTTTAGAAAATCTCTCTCCCAGTCTCCTTTTTAAATTAAAGTCCCTCAAAAAGAGTTTGAACTGTACTGCTCAAACTAACAATGCAAGGTGCCAAAAGAAATAGCTATACCACATAGCACTTTAAAGTAGCAATAATTCTTTGACTGTTATAATTTTTCATTGGTATTGCTTATCAGTGAGGTTAGCATTGTTGAAAAGACACTTTGACAATAGCATTATGGGACACTCGATTATTTGATCTTCCCTGGACATAGTTCCTCATATTGGTACTATGTCTCCAGTAGTGCCAATGGGCAGATCCCCCAATCTGTGAACATTCAGTAGTAAGTATGTGAAGCAAAAATAGGGCTCATTCCAAAAGTAGTTTTCAGAAATAAAGACAAGCAGAGGAGTAATAGAAGCAACGTTTAGACTATTTGACCAAAAATGATATGCTGCCATATCATTACTGGCCATAATTGGAAAAGTGCATTGTGATCTTGAAAAATACATGTGATTAGAAAATACATTTCCAAGACAGACAGACATAAAGGGTCCCCCAGAGAAGAGGAAAGGGACAAGATCTCCTGAGCTAATTGGGAACATGGCAGGAGGGGAGAGGGGGTTAGAAGAAAGAGAAGGGGAGAAGAAGAGGGGAGAGGAGGACAGGAGAGACCAGGAAGATCTAGTCAGAGGAAGAATAGAGGAGAGGAAGAAAAGAGATGCTATAATAGAGGGAGACATTATAGGTTTAAAGAGAAATCTGGCACTAGGAAAATGTCCAGAGATCTACAAGGTTGACCCAAACTAATAATCTAAGCAATATTTGAGAGTCTAACTTAAATACCCTTCTGCGATAATGAAATTGATGGCTACAATATATGCCAAGTAGCTGATGGAGGCAGAAGCAAACACCCACAGCTAAACTCTGAGCTGAACTCTGGAATCCAGTTGCAGAGAGGGAGGAGTGATGAGCAAAGGGGTCAAGACCAGGCTGGGGAAACCCAAAAAACAGCTGACCTGAACAAAGGGGTTGCTCGTGGACCCCACACTGATAGCTGGGAAACCAGCATAGCACTATACCAGACCCCCCTGACAAGATGTTAGTTTGGGGGTCTGGTTAATCTATAGGTCCTCTGGTAGTGGATCAGTATTTATCCTAGTATAGGAATGGAATTTGGGAGCCCACTCCACATAGAGGGATACTCTCTGTCTAGACACATGGGGAGGGTCTAGGCCCTGCTCCAAATGACAGACTTTGAAGATCTCCAAAGGAAAGCCTCACCCTCCCAGGGGAGCAGAAAGGGGGTGGGATAGGAGACTCCTGGGGAGCAGGGGAGGAGGGAAGAGAGAGGGAACTAGGATTGACATGTAAAAGAAGCTTGTTTCTAACTTAAATTTTAAAAGGGGGGAAAAGGAAATTCATTTCCAGGCATCAGACAAAGAAAGAAAGCTAATTGCTGGTATGGACATGTAAACAAGTCAAATATGAGTCAAATATAAGTAAAAGAAGAGAAGATACCTATTAGTATGCTTTCTTGACAATCATACCTTATAGTTTTAAGTACATAACCTAAAGGAACACTGGCAGTGGCAGGAGGCAGGCAAAAACTTATGTGCTCTGGATGGTCCCTGTGGAAGGGGTCTTTGTAAACAGATGTCCTGGCGGTCCTCTCTAATAGAAGAGAGGTCACTAAGGCTCCTTAGGGACCCAGGTAAACTTCCAGCCTCCCTCCTCATCTCGACGCACAAAGGCTTGTCCCTGATGGAAAGAGTGAGTTTTCACATTGCAGTGAGGGCTCAGAGATGTGGAGAAGGCCACCTCTGTCTTGTTGGGTGACACATCTGCACTGTGGTAAGGAAGAGTTTGCACCCCTACTGGAGGATTGGACAGCCAAGAAAAACAGTGACAGTCTTGTTGGTGGATGGTGGTGACATGTGAGGCATTTGTTCTGCTCCCTCCACAGTCAAGGTGTTGATCTCTAGGAACAGTTGCATAGCCAACTGTATCATGTAGAAACTGGGAGGATGTACTGGGAACTGTTCTGGGATGGGAGGCAATGGCACTGTAGTTAGCTGGCAGGGTGTCATCAATGGTGTTGAGGTCTTTCAACCCAAGTGTTTGAAGAACCCAGGGGTCCACACAGGGCCCAGTTTGTTCTTCACAGTTAGAAAACTCAGTGGAGAGGTTTCTCTTGGCAGTTTTGGACTGGGGTATCTCAGCAGGGGAGTGTCTGTGTTCTTTGGGTTTCCTCTTCTCTTTTCTGTGTTTTCCACATACTTTAGAAAACTCATCTGATGACAGCAATTTCTGGAAAAGCAATATTTGAAAATTGTACTTTTTTTGGTTATTTACTGTTTGCTCATTTGAATACCAAAAAATGGCTAAGTGTCTTGTGTGTTTCCATAGAAGTAAAAATAGTTAGTCACTTAGCTACTGTTCCTTGAATAAACATCCTTAATAAGTTGTTACTTTGTTTCACATTCTTTATTCAGCTTTTAAAAATTGAAGGAAGCAGATGACATCTCTTAGATTTCAACTAAATGAAATAAATGCTGATGCCAGTAGCAGCTGTCACTTATTAAATTAATTTATAAGCAAATAAAATAGGATCATAATTCATAAACCACTGCTTGTATGTTTTCTCATGGGATGCAGATGCTCTTAAAATAATTAATAGACATCCACATATTAGTGATCAGCTGAGTATATCTTTGCCTAGATTTAAATCTTACGTATATGAATCTAGACAGAACCTCTTATTTCAACACTATTTATCACCTTCTATTTCATCATACTAACTTTCAAACACTCTCATGTCATGTGTCATATTATTCTAAATTTAGAAAACTGATATCAAGAGAATTAAAAATGCCCAATCAATATCACTTAGGGATTTTTTTATGGATTGATATCTGATGTTAGGATCCAGACTAATTACTATAAGGATGTGTTTGTTTTAGTGAAAGCTAACTGGATTGCAACGGAGTCAAATTTAATGACATTCTCTATACTCAAAAACAGGAGGTAGCATCAAATTTAGATCAAATAATGTCATAGCTTTTCTAGCAATAAGATATATCTGATGTAAGACATAGTAACTAGAATGATGTCAAATGCAAACTGAAATGTGAAAAAGAACAAAAAGGTTATAGGTTAGATATTCATCCTTGAGTTAAAGCAGTTCACTCAAACATATATGGAAAAAGAGTACTTGCATACCCATATTCACCAGTGGAGACACCTGGGGCCCAAGTATGTCCACAGCATTTCAGATTCAGAGATATCAACCCTCCCTTGTGTGTGTGTGTGTGTGTGTGTGTGTGTGTGTGTGTGTGTATAATTGTCCAGATGTTGAGCTGGGTGTCTTCTTCTATACTCTCCACCTTACATTTTCAGGCAGAGTCTCTCACTGATCTTCCTAGGCTGGCTGGCCAGTGGGATGCAGGAATATACTGGTCTCAGCTTCCCTGTGATCTACTGGGACTGCAGATAAGTGCTGCTGCCCCTGACTTAATGTGAACACCTCAGGATCCAAACTTAGTTCTTCATGGATGCATGTAAAGCACAGCCCCCAGAGAGATCCTTACCAGGCTCTTGACCTATCCATTTACCAACTACAATAGCAAAGGCCTTGAGGAAGAACTTTAGCTAACATATAATACATAATTAGAACTACTAATGTTTTTTTACATTTGATTTCTATTCCAATACTCCACTCTTTATTAACCCCAGTAGTCTTAGCAACTCCCTGATTAACTTCAGTCCTTAATTCCCTTTGTGATGTTAGGCTAAAATCTGAAACGAGAAACTTCTAGAAAATGGTATTTAACAATCCTGTTGAAGTCATGTATTTCCTTAAGGATAATATCCTACTAACTCCCATGAAAACATCTCGTTCTGTAAACTTCATGTATTTAATCATGGGGTTGTCACGTAGTGATTTGCTCTGTCAAGTCACTGCCTTGCACTTGGAAAACAGATAATTACATACCTTGGCTTTTTCTTCCAGACATTTAACCAAAGTAGAATTCAGGTATTGTCTGAGGTGATTATTCTCTTCATGTAGCCTAGCAAGTTCTTCCTCCTTCTGTACCAGAGTGTCCTGGAGCTGCAAGAAGCATACAATAGTGAAGGGTGCTCCCCTCTATTGGCTTTGTAACCTAATAATACTGCACTGCTCCCCAACATTCTTGGACTTGGTTATTCTTGTTTGTTTTAGGAACATTATTTCAAAGAGCCCTGGTCCTCTGAGTCTTAAATTAAATCTACCCTCCCTAACACCTGACTGTTCAGTTTTGTGCACTGTGTATTCCATTCACTGCAAAGTATTTGAGGAGATCAGATGACTTTCAGAACTGTAACCACAGAGAGTCAGGGGGGTGTGAAGGAAAGTGAGCCACACGGAACTGTTTAAATATAGGAAGGATGGTTAGAAGGTTTGACTGGATTCCTTCCCTGCAGTTAAAATAAAATCAGTAGATGTTACCTGGCTTTTCCCAGCCCCAAACCTATGTGTCCAATAAATAAAAGCACTCATCAGGAATGATCACAAATGAGATCCAAAGGAGGAAGTGATCTTTGGGAAACTTTTATCATTATTCCTCCTCTCGAAGATGAGCCATGTTTATTGTTTAAGACACTACTGTATTCACCCTTTGGTCATTGCAGCTGCCCTAGAGAAGGGCTGCAGGAGTATTCCACAGATAAGGGGAATTTATTTGGTTAATTGAGAGGTCAGTCATAGGTAGGTTTTCTTGGAGCTTTTGTTTCTGTGAGTTTGTTCATTTAACTTTTATGTCTTTGGATACACAATTACTGTTGTGTGTCACAACAAACACTGAGCCACGGTGAATTTTAAAAAAAAGAAAGAAAATATTTAAAACTAAAAGACAATAAGAAATAAAGGGAGTCTCATGGGACAGCAGACATTATGGAACTAGGTTAGTCTCAGTATTCTCACTACCTATCCATACCTGCTTATTTCTGTAGAGCTGAGAGGAGAGCTGAGTCTCTTCCCATGAACATGAATCCAGAACAGGGAAATTTAAGTCACAGGATGCTTCTATGTAAAAATACAAAATAAATGCATGAACATATTTAGAACTACACGATAAAAATTCACAAACAACTTCTAAAGTTTAATAGATATAATTGCTTTTATTTCACACAGGAAAACAAGACTTTTAAGATTTCAGAAGAAAGTGAGCAAACATTTTTGCATTGTCTACCAGTGGATAGAACCCCTTTCTAGTGTTAATCTTATTTTCTGATTTTTAGCATTTAATAGCAGCATATTTGGCTATATAATTAAATCCTATATTTTGATGCTGCATTTTCCTCTCACTTGTCTTACTTGTGAAATGTGAAAGGCAGACTGTGTTCAGAATTTTGTGTCATGGTATGATAATATTTTCTAGTATGTATGTATGTATGTATGTATGTGTGCTACACATTAAAATTGGGACCTTGCGCATGCTGGAGAAGTACTGCATGACTGAGTCAAATTACCAACGCTTAACCCCCTTTGCCTTAGTGATTGACATCTCATTTCTCTGAAGAATTCTATGGAGATTACACTGCTGAGCCATACCTGATCTATTTCAAGTGTCTACATCTGTATATTTTAATGTGTTTTCAAAGAATTGTTACAGCAAGCTATGCCCATCAATGAAAAATGGTTTCTGCATGCTAATGTACTTTAGCCCTCACTCCCCCAACCCTTGGCTTCATTCTCCCATTTGACCAGCAAGTCTTAAAATATTGTTGTTGAAACATTTAGTAGTAAGTTGGAGTGATAAGTAATAAAATAAAAATCAAACTTGGGTTCACATCCTGAGATACTCGTCTCTTTTGCATAGAGTTAAAAGACAAGCTGAGCAATGTCCTCAATGACACATGCTTCATTCATTTCAGTGTATGCTTCAGCATCTTTTCATTCCCCTCTCCCCAATCTCCAAAATACTTTGGGGGCAGAATAAATGCACAGGTTTTCTGAGGTGCCTAACAGTTTTACAGAAACCAAGCATTAATACAGAAATCCCAGTAACAAGTGTAAGAATATTCATTAAGCTTCAGGCCAGCATGAGTGTTTTCTGTAATTTTCATCAACATTGGACATCTCTCTAAAACTGAAGTGTGTATATGAATGGGGAATGTTTATTTCCATGTGCGAAACACTGTGCACAAACTTTGTATGATGCTATTTACTTTGCTACTCATTCTTTATTTTTCCCTCAAGGTCACACGAATCTCACCAAATTACAACATAAATATTCTACCTATATTTTGACTCAAAAGAATGTGCTACTAGAGTGCTGTTTATAAAGCTGTGCTACAGACCCAAAGTTACTTATGAGTTGGCAATCTCCAAGAATTACAGAATGTAGGAAATACATGTCATCTAGCACACAAGAGGAAGTGTTTCACTTTTTTTAGTTGAGAAGCACAGAACAACCAGTTTTACCACTAAAAACATTCCAGGGGTCTCAGTGCCTATTTAAATTCTCTCTCTCTCTCTCTCTATATATATATATATATATATATATATATATATATATATATATAGATAGATATAGATATAGATATAGATCACTTTCTCTGTTGATTCCCAGTCCTTGATGCTTACAGTCACAGGACTGTGAAAAGACCCATTCTACAAGCAAAGCAGAAGAGTAGAACTTACCCTGTGTCTGTGGTGCTTGTTGGGGCTCAGCGTTGTCCAGGAGACTAGCAGCCCAGAAAGAGACCCAGGTTTCCTTGGAAACGTCAACACTAGATTCTGACGTTGTAGTTGAATACGGGCAATTATAACTCTGCCCTCCTACCAAATACGGATCTTGGCAAGGCAGAACGCTGTTCTGTGAATTTCAGTTTGATGGGAGTGTGGAAGATGGCATGACGCAGTTGGGAGGGGGAGAGAGTGGGAGAAACATGGAGAAATTATACGTGATAAAGCATATAAACAATAAGAAAAATAACTACAGATCCATCTACATAGTTGAATTGTATGGTTATAATTGCTCAAGAATTCTAGGTTCTTGAATTACCCAAGAGTTTCTTAAGGCCTTTCACCAAATAACTAGTATTGAATCGTTCAGGTGTGTAAACATCAGAGTAATATTTTCTACTGCAGTGACTAGCTCAACTCATAAGCTAACCCGAAACTAAGTAAAAAGAACTAGATTTCATGATCCAAAAATATAAGAACTACTTGTTTCTCTGTCGTAGATAGCTTGATGTAAAAGAAGAATCAGATTTCACGATTGAAAAACATAAGAACTGCTTGTTGCTCTGTAGTAGCTATCTTCGTTGTATTTTATAAACCTTGAAAGGCAAAGATCACAGACTTCAAAGAGTTAGGTGAACGGTTCTATATGGCATCATATCAAGGAACTTTCTAATTTGGAAGTCTGAATCAGCTTTGTGTCTTACATTAGAATGGATAAACATGTATATGAATATATGTGTACAGAGGTCATCACATATATTTCCCCCCAATTCCAGTCATAGGAACATGACATCTTTCCAAGTAAACAGTCAAAAGCTGAGAATCAAGGCAGTGGTTTCTAGTTCACTCCACAGTTAACACTTAGTACCCTTTCCAAGTTACCATGCCACCAGTAGCTGTCTGGCATGCCTTTCTCCACTGTGTTCTGACTAAATGAACACCTTCCTGCCCCGCCCCACTCACTCCTCAAACCTCGAATGTGGTCTCTCCAAATGTCCCTGCAGGAGTAGGCAGTCTGCCTTCTTCCTAGCTTAAGCCGTCCAACAGCCCGTTCTTAATTATGTGTCAATGTTTAATCAAGTCGAAAACATCCCTTACAGCAGAGTCCAGGTCTAGGCAAACTACTCCAAGACTGGTGCTGACTTGAAGACTTTCTTGGACATTAACAAAGAGAAGGCAGAGAGTATGGGAAAGGAAGAGAGTAAAGAAGAAGAGGACAAGGAGGGTGTGGAGTAGGAAGAAGAGGAGGAGAGAAATGGGAATAGGAGAACAAAAGTTATTATTATTGAGTCACTGGAGTCTCCCCAGGTCCCTGCTGCCAGTGACTGGAGGGTTGAAAAGGTACACTATTGAGAAGCAAGCACGGCTTGGGCGGCGCTGCCTGAAGAAATTCAGGCAAAAGTTTATCAAGTGCTATTTTCTTTTATTCTAAAAGTATGTTTGTAGACTCTTTTTTTCTTTCTTGAGGTTATTCATGGAATCAGAGCTATTAGGCAATCGACACCTGAGAGGAAAACAAACCCCAAACACTCGTGAGGATTTCAAATCTAAGTGTTTGCAAATATGTGCATAATCTAGAGGAGCAGGTGGAAGGAAAGCAGGTCTGTGCCCGGGTGAGGGGAAAGGCGTGGAGTGGGGAGGCAAATATGCAAGGAGAGGGAACAGAGAAAAATTAGGAGTGCGGGGTAGCAGAAACGGCCTATATTAATTGGCAAGTACAAAGGCATTTCCCAAAACAGAATACATTCTTAAGGCAGTTTATTGTCTTCTAGGGCTCCCAGAGTTCTGGCAGCGAAACAAGCTAATGCCAGCTCCTCACTTACCATCTTGAAGAAGAAAGTGCTGCAGAAACTGGGACCCCTCAGTTCTTTCTTAAAGCCAGAGTTAGCTTTGAATGGGACTGCAGAGAGGAGCAAGGAAGCAAGATCTAATCCTCTGGAGAAGCGAGTGATGCACAGGTGCTGCTCTCTGGTTTAGTGCGAGGCTGTCAAACAGGTGACTTGCCCCAGGAGTCACCCAGCCTAAGCCACAGTAGCTCCAGCTCCGGAGACACCCGCACTGGGATGTAAAACCAGCAGGACGTCTTGCTTGGGCCAAGGAAGGACCCTATGTTGCAGGCGGCTGAGGCAGTGCCTGGTCAAAGCCTGTGCCGGTGCGAGCTGAGTCTATCGAAACTACCTGCAGCTGTGACGGCTGGCGATGGGGACTCAACTGCCCTGCTCCCTCCGTGCCACGCGCCCAGCAGCCGGCAGGGCGGGGCTGGGCAGGGCGGCCAGCCAGGCCCGGCAGCATCAGAAGCCCAAACCTTGGTCTCTGTGAAGCGCTAAGGAAGCCCATCCAAGGGGCCCTGGTGTGAGTGACTTTCTGTGCATGTGCTGCTCACCGGATAACAAGTGATGGCAACTTGGTAAAAACGGCGACTTTATTTTTATTTTATTAATGAGTCTTATTTCACCCAGTTCTTGCAATGTTTAAATGTGAGGGGAAAATGTTATCAATCTTAGAATATACATTTTCCAAGACGTATATGCCATGTCTGACTCCACAGCACTGTGGTCAATGGGCTGCACGCAACAAGTACTCAATAAAAATTTCTTCAAACAATGAATTAATATTCACATTTAGGAATCTAAAGTGCTTTTCTCTGAGTTGGACTGATGCATACCACAATTACATAAAATTTTTAAAATTACGATTAAGAAAAGAGACGCCTGTCTGTCCTTCATAAAGTATTATATTTCCCTGTCTTTAATTTTGTTCTCACATGTATCTACATAATGCTCAATCTAGGGATGAAAGAGAAGCCTCCTTTACACAAACTTCAGTAACCTCTTCTCACTTGCACTCATCATCTAAACGGATACAACGCAGTGAACAAATGGGATGCAGTTTCATCAACCCAGTAAATATCATCAGAGGTCTCTAAGACACCCAGCCAGAGACACCTGAACACACCTGTCCATTACTGAACAAGGCACAGTAGATGAACTGTGGAATCTACCCACCAACAGATAAACACACAAAGAAAACATATACACCAGAGAACCATATTCAGTTATAAAGAATGACATAATGTCATTTGCAGAAAAAATTGGTAATCTTAGACATCTTTATGCTAAGTGAAATAAACTAGACTCAGGTTGTCAAAGAGCTTATATATTCTCTTGTGTGTAGAGTCTCTATTTTAAATTTGTGCATGTATGTGTGTGTGTGTCGTATACAATAGAAATGATACCATTTTACTATTGTTAAGAGGCAAATGACCAGCAGATAGAGGGAACAAGAGAGGGCAATGCATTGTAAATATGAGAAAAGCACATGATGTACATGAGTAAAAATGTTATGAGGAAGCCTGTTATTTTGTACAATGAATAAAGCTATTAATAATTGAACAAAACGAAAGAGGTTGACAATCAATATAGGAACCAGGTACTAGTATTCTCTCAGTTTAAAGGAAAGCTCTGATGGTAAGAATATGGATACTGTTAGCATAATAGATAAGTGCCAGACAAGATTTAGACCTCAGGCAAAGGTAACTATGCTTCATTTTATATCTTGCCTTTCTTGTGTTCACTCTTTAAACCACATAGGTGTCTGTATGCGTAACAGGCACTGTTTCAAACTTATTTGTGTTACCTTCAGATTCATAAGTTGAAGTTCTGGTGCCACTGTGACTATATTTAGAGAAAGGGTATTCAAGAGACAGCTTAAATGTGATCCTGAGTGGACCTTATGTCTGGTGGTATTATCAGAAGTCAGGCACACCAGGGTCCTGGATGGCACACACACAAAGAAAAGGTGGTGTGAGTTCAGAGCAAAGTGAGTCATGAAGGGAAGGCTCTGGAAAAACCAACAACCCTGCAGAAGTCTTGGTGGTAGGCTTCCAACCTCTGAACTGAGGATAGCCCTCCTGTGACACAATTGGTGGGTAGCCTTAGCAAACCAATGTGTACACGACACAGAAACTAAGAAGCAAAGTTCAAGTCCAGCTTACATCTAGTTCTTTAGAGAAAATTTCACCTTTATTTGCTTGTCCCCTTCCTCTATTTGTCATGCATACAATTTACAAAAGTTACTAAGAGACTAACTGCCCAGGGCCCCAAGGTCAAAAAAGGTATAGAGGAGGAAGTGGGAGAATGTGCCAGAAGGGTCCTTTCTCTTGCTCTGATAATATTTATTTGAAAAATATGTAAATGAATGCCAATACCTGTGAAGATCGCTGCATCAATAATAGACAAGCTGGATCACTCAATGCCAGCTCATTCCAGTGTGTCATAAGAGAAAGTGGTCCCTTGCAGTACAAACAACAAAACCCCAGAACAGATCAAATTCAATTAGATCTTGCAAATCTACAATCTTATTCAAGGCAAAAAGTTGTTGATGCTTTAGTCCTGCATACAGCTACTCTCTTTAACAAAACCTGGATAGTTTTGTGATGAGCAGAGGCAGAAACAGGAGGGATGGGTGGCCTTGCTTTTGGAAGCTTTCACAGATGAGATGCATAAGGCTTTGCAAGACACATTGTCTTCTTCACTCCAAAAATGATGCAAAGAAGGTAAATGAGCAAATACAGTAGGTAAAAAGGACAGAAAGGAACATTGGCTTTGAATTAAAATATACATGGACTCCAATCCCTGGTATTTTCTGACAGAAATATGTAGGTTGCATTATCAGTGTATCTAAATCCTGGTAACTAGTTTGGTAAATTAGAAGAAAAATGCTTACAAGACAGATCAAATATGAAGCGTATTTATTAATGCTCAATAATTTGCTGATTAAAGAACAGTAACTTTTTACTATTATTCATAGAGAGGGTTCTGCCTTTGATGATGAATAATTGTCTACTGCTCTGCTGGATCTGCTGAAGTCACTGAAATGAATGTTGGACTGGCAAAATGGGAGGTTTGGAAGGGTTAGATGTAAGTGTTAAAGTTATTTGGTGTACATAAATGCTTTGTAAATCATCAACTAACTACCTTAGCGAAATAGATGTGGGAGGGTAGGTACATGGAGACATAGAAACACTGAACACCAAAGAGCTGTGGACAATTGAATGTAAATGAGATTGTAAGTTCTTGCTAAAATTAAAACACAATGGAAACACTTCAGATGCATAAACTCTGACTGTGCCTATCATTATTTTACGATTTACTGCTTAACCATAAGCTTAATTACTATTATTATTTTAAAAAGCCACTGAACCAAGTAAGCAATAATATGAAACCCTTTGGCAGGTATATCCATGTTTATGAAATGCAAATTCTTTCTTATATAAGTAATGAGATCAGTTAGAAACTGCCTTTGTGTTGTGTTAGAGTAGATGGTGCTAAAGAGGAGACCAATAACAGCTCAGCTGCTGAATCAGGAATATATATGTATATATATGGAGGTAATTTGACCTGCACAAAAGCCATGTCTGCAGACAGACAGCAAAAGGTAGAGTGTGATCAGAGGTACAGTGGAAATATAAATACATGGGCATATGGAATGGTCTTTCCTTTCACCCCGGGAGAGTTCTTTCTTCGATTCACCTATTAGTGGATTCAGTAGCATATATAATAAAGAAGAATCATTTTTCTTTGTAAACACAACTCCTTCCTGTAGCAGACAGCTGAGTCTCCAGGAAAGAAGATCATGTTTCTCCTTTCTCCTATAGGTAGAATGTTACATATGGAAAAGTTGCAATGTAACAGTTTTGTATTGTAAGATTTAACATTTGCAATTATCTGTATCTGTATAGTCATGACACGTTCAGTTTACTGCATACAACCTTAAAATTACTCACCCAAAAGTATATGTGGGGATCATTCTAGTATGGACAGAAACTTGCCTACTACTCATCACCTTGTTGTTCTTGGAAATTTCTAATGATTATGATATATGTGACAAATTTTTCAGTGATAAAAACTATTTCTACATAAGCTTAATATGTGAAAGAATCAATATTTAATTCTGACAAGAGAAATAAAAAATAAAGAAAGATGTAGTGGTCACTAGCCAGAAAGGAGAAATGCTTTGGATAAGGTCCAAAATGTGAAAAGCATGTGCATTTCTGTGTGTGTGTGTGTGTGTGCGCGCGCGAGCCCATGTGTGTGTGTGCGTGCACACTTATGTATGTTGGGTATGTCGTCCAGAATTTCTTTCTTTTTTTTTTTTTTTTTGGTTTTTTCAAGACAGGGTTTCTCTGTGTAGTTTTGGAGGCTGTCCTGGCACTCGCTCTGTAGACCAAGCTGGCCTCAAACTCACAGAGATCCGCCTGCCTCTGCCTCCCGAGTTCTGGGATTAAAGGTGTGCGCCACCAACGCCTGGCCAGAATTTCTTTAATAGTTTTATATCTACCATTATTCATTTATGCATAAAATGTTTGCTGATAATGCAGCTATACTTGATGTATTTTATTAAGGCAGATTACCTACCTTCATCATATGGAACAATCAGAAGATTATCATTGTAAAAGTATGTCTTTCAAATATCAAGTATGTATTTTACATACCTGAGATTGCTTGCAAATGGATGCAGACCTGTATTCATTATTCAAGAAAAATGTTCTGTCCTTAGTAGCCTTGCTTTCTGTATTTTGTCATATTATAACACTTCAGCCTAGGATTTCAGCCAAGTTAGAGTACAGAGGCTTTGCCTTGCTGTGGGAGTTCCCATTTCATTCATGCCTCACATGGAAACTGGGGTAATTAATACCTTACCTCTCTGCCATTTACTATGTGAGCACTGGTGGGAAGCTCTGAATTAAAATAAGAAAATGTCAATAGGACTATGAAAGAACATAAAAACGTTGAAGTTAACCTCACAGAAATATTAGAGAGGAAGCCTTTGAAGCCAAGCAAAGAGAACTCAAGGCTGAGGGGGTAGCTCTGCAATTTGGTGCTAGTCTATTAGGCAACGTTCCAGAATCCATCCCCAGCAGCAGGAACAAAATAAATAAACAAGTCAATAAATCAATACAAGTTTATTTCACACAGTTTATCGCAATGCACTGAGAAATGATTAAAATAGTTATGATGATTAATATATGTCAGGGATATGTTCATCTAACTTTGATATAAAACAAAGTTCTATTTCATGAAAATCTATAGTTTTGTCAACTAGGCTCCAGTGCCCACATTGTTCAAGACTCCTTGTCAGGGATGCTTGGCAAGCTAGGTGACAGATGACAGATAACTGATGTAGTATTAACAACTTGGAAGACAAATGGGCAATGACTACAGCACTTAAATTTCTTGAAAATACAGAAATAAGGAAGTGGGCTCCTATTTTTAACAAGATGACTGGAGTCATTCCATTCTACTGTTGGAGTTACCCAAGAAACTAAAAATGTGAGT